TCTTATCATTTTCTAAACATATTTCTCTCATATCTTCCGCACACCGTTCGAACGAACCGTATAATCCATTACATACTTCGTTAATTCCTCCATCCTCACCAACAATTATAAAACCGTATTTTCCTTCTCCTTTCCAAATATCTTTGACTTTGAAATAGCGGAGGATAAATGGAAAATTATCGGGAACATCGAACGAGAAATTTTTTACCGCAGAAACGCAAGCGTCCAAAGTACGGTACAGAATTGAAGAAGATGAGTATATTTTATAGTCTCCGTAAGTAACCAGAAAACCGTACATCCCCATGATTACACCTTAAATATAAAACTAATTCTCTTTAAAAAAGTAACTTATATAAAATACTAACCAATCACATCTTCGTTAAAAACTAACAGCCAATCATATTTTTCTTTAAGAGCAAATCGTTTTTTTAAAAACTCACTCGAAGTTTTAAAAGTTGTAATATAGAGGGCGCGAGTTTCGATGTTGTGTTATCGGTTTTTTATATTAAATTCTTATACAAATTAAAATATAATCTATACTGTATCGGTCTTTATTTCGATATAATACAAAAATTTATATACTAATTAATTTTTGTACCCCAGAATGCATCATTTCTATACTACTGATACTATCGCTATTTTTTGCCATCTTATAGGAATCGTATTATAGAAACCCGTGGTATAGGGGTCTACTGTAGTTAGAATGTTAATGATTTGCAGGAACGACACATATAAGAACGTGTAAAAATTGTGAACTTGTAGTAGATACGATACATAAAGTAGCAATACAGGCAAACAATATACATAAAAAAAGTACACTGTTAAAACAATAACACTTAAAACCGTGACATTGAAAAGTGTTTTATCATTAAAACAATAAAATAGAATGATGAAGTAAAAACTAAGTGCACCTTTAAAACAATAACATGATAAACTTATTTACAGTAAAATCGTAACAGCATGTTTACTATAGATACTATGTTTCATGTAATTTTTTACCAGTATTAGTGTATTATTTATCATCCTGTCTTTGTTTTTTAGTATTCATAAACGTTCATACCATCTTCTATTATGTATACTGGATTCTTTGTTAGCAATTTTAATGGTGTTTGTAATAATTTGGCAACATTCACTGTTATAATGAACAGCAATAGCCGAGCGACTATTATTATATTTCATCACGAATATGTGTTCGTTAAACCGAGTTTGTAAATTACATTTCTCTGGTCTCATATATAATTATTATCATTATCATGAGCGTTTATCTGCCTATTCAAACTAGGAATTTTTAGGGCATTAAAATTATACCATATTTGTTTTATTTAAATTTGATTCTTTCAAAGATAATTTGTTCATACGGAATTTTAAAAAATTCGTGAGTGGGATTGTTGCTTTCATGTTTCTGTTTATTAGTTTTTCTATTATTAATCCAGTTGTTGATCATGCGTTTGCTATAATCATTCATTAAAAACATTTTTATTGCATCTTATATTTCAGTTGTTTTGGTGGTAAGCCAAAAATTAATATTTTTTGTTTTTTAATTTTTAAAATATATTTAACTTAACACGAAAGAAGTGAATCGGCAGCGCTACAGAGCTCTATAGTAGAACTCAGCAACACGTTTAATGTTAAAATGCCAAATTTGATCATTAATTTCTCCAAGACCAACTAACCGATTTCGATGAAATTTAAATTATTTATACTTAGTTTCCACGATGAACAGTACGGAAGTGCTGAACTTTCAATAATTCCTTAGATCATTTTGACAATTCCAAATTCCGCAATATCGACTCGATTTACAACGAGAGGAATTTTCGCGACACGAAGCTAGCAGAAAATCTAGAAAATGTCTGCGTACGCTTAAAAGTTTTTTGAACAACCGACCACCTGTTTTTGGTCTCTTTGTAGGTTTTATTTCTAAATACTGTACCGAGAATTTATAAAATTATAAGCCCAATGTTTAAATATTAACATTCTATTGGTCGATCCTCTACCAAGTGAAGTCATGTTTTGCTATTCCTTTTAATCTATTAGCATCGAATCTTTACAATTACTTAAAACGCATTTTTGTCGGTTGTGTTATGCACATTTACTTCGTTTAATACAAAAGAATATTAAATAATAGATAAATACAGGAATAAACGTTGGATTCTGATAATTGAAATTACATCTTTCGAGTGCCGGTACGTCTCGTTTATCTTTGTTATGGCTAGTTTCATTAATATTCTCAATTTTACTTAATGTTGCTGGGAAAGCTACTGGTTGCTTGAGTTTTAACGTTCGGTTTGAATTTCTAATGCTTTATTTACGATTTTCTTTTAGTAACTGCAAAGCGTTCGAGAATTATCTATGTAAAAGTATTTTTTATATTTTTATTTTTTAAAGTATTAATATTATTAGACTAGACATTTGTTTCTTAATAATTTTCATCTTTGTTTAAGTGTTACCAGTCATCATTATCTACCTTTTGGCTCGTTATTTCCATTGACAGATATGAAATGCTCATAAGTACAAGGAGCGGCACAAATTATTGCTTCAGAATTGTCGAATTTTTAGATTTCGTACAAACACTTTTCATTATAAGCAGATGATCGACAGATACTCGTATATACGTGTATGCTCAACAAGTAATAAACACTTGTTCAAATACTTTGCTGAATACCAAACATGTGAATGCAGGTTGATAAATCCTGTAACTCACTAATCAGTTATTTGGTATTCATTTTCTTTTTTATTTTCTAATATTACTATTATGCGCATTCGACGTAAATAAAGTAGTAATAAATTATAAGTATTTTAAATTGCCAAATCCAAGCATTCAAACTACTACAAAATTCTAGGGCAATCTGCCAGATTAAAATAATTTTTTATTCTAATATTTTCTTTTCATTTACATTACAGTGTTTTTGTAACGATATATTTACTATTAGAGTCTATATATATTACTGTGAAGCTGTGAATCTTCTTATTATTGTGACAAGCACTTAAGTTAAGAAGTGCAGAAACACGTCTTGATAAATAATTATTCCACTGATTTTAACGAAATTTTTCATGTTAATAGAATTTTTAAAATGACGGGTTGTGAAGTTTCAAATTTAACTTTGACCGGTACATGCAGAAAGTTAAACGTCGTCCCCAAAGTAAAAGGGATTTTAGAACAAAAGAAAAATTACTTATGCAGAGTGACAAGTCGCTTAAATTCATCCCATTTAGCGGAAATCATACTATTTTAATTCAAATATTTTCTCCTGAAAGGCATTAGATAGATGACAGGTATTACTCTGTTGTTAAAGAAAAACTATAACGTACAGGGGCAAGTAATCACTAATTTGAGACGAGGGCATATATTTTAAATTATATAAATTAAAAATATAATAAAAAATTTTCGCTCGTCTTTTTTTCGATGTCACAATAAATAATTGTTCGTTAATTTTTTTATTTATTTTCATAACAGACATTAATCTGTCCGAAAATAAAGGCAACGCCCAGAAGTTAAAAATGAATCTTCCGTCCGTGTCCATTTTACCAGTTTTGTTAAACATTCTATTTTCTCAACGTGACCAGCAATACCACAATTCATTCATCGGGATACGTATGTCAATAATATTTTATTGAGTAATTTGACTGTTTATAAATACATATATATTTTTCGTATTTTTCCAGATGCTATAAATTTATTGACTGGACTCTCTACGCTATTTCCAAACGAGAAAGTTGCCTGTCTCAACACATTTGGATATAAATTAATGTTTTTCTTTCATCCAGAATCTGCAAAGGTAATCAAACATACCTAGTTATGTAATATATTCATTACAAATGAAAATATACAGTATTACGTTCTTTAGGAAGTGTTAAAAGGCAATAGTTTAATTAATAAGGATTCTACATATGATTTCTTCAAGCCACTTCTCGGAGAAAATAGTATTCTGTACAGGTAATACATTATTTGATATTTAGTTCAAATATCGTTGTTTACAGTTTTCTAAATTTAATTAAATAAAGTTCTGGTGATAATTGGAGAAGAAGAAGAAAATATTTAGCTCCACATTTTCATCTTTGGAATGTGAAAGATGATCAAAATGTATTTATGGAGCATTCAAACGTCTTAGTGGAAAAACTCAAACAATTGCAAAAGAATGAAATATTCGATATTCTGGAATGGATGAAATATTGCACTCTCGATATAATTGCAGGTATTACAGTCTAATGTAAAATATTTAATTAAGAATTATAAATATCAATTTGTTCATACGTAAACATTAAATGAAATATTTATTTTTTTAATTATTGCTCATCACGAAAAAAAAGTATGAAACGAATTTAAAAAAAATAATAATAATATATATATGTTACCGCTAAAGCTCGGAAACTCGTTAATCTGCAGATTAACTAGCGTGATCCGTTAAAGTTGCTAAAATTGTTCTATTTTTCAAATTACCTAGGCAATGTGCAGATTATCTAGGTAGTCTGCAAATTACCTACTAGGCACTCGGTAAAGTGAAAATAAGATCTTTGCTGAAACAACAGCAACTTTTCTGTACGCTTAAATTAACATAATGTTCTTTATTTAATTTTCGATATCTAAAGAATCAAGTTAATACAATCAAACAATGGACAAATTAGTTGATAGAATCGATCATCAACCAATTAAAAAACATACAAAAAAACCAAACAATTTAAAATATTAATACAATTAGAGAAATTATTATGTAGATAACCACCTATGGAATTTCGGGACTTTGAGTATCTATCTGAACTGAGGAAACCGAGACGACTTCAACGATACCCTACTTTTGGACCGGAGACGAAAAATAATAAAGTTATCATACTTTTTCTGGTGATCGCATGATGTAATTTTGCAGTTAATGTTACCTATGATGAGTAAAATGGCGGCTCGTCTCTGATTCCAGCAAACAGAAGAAAGGAAACTGGGGACGCACGTTCAAACCTAACCTAACCTATTCTAATAATTTGGTTGGTAATAATTATGGTAATTTATTAAAATAGGTTAGGTTAAGACAGAACGTGCTTCCCCCACAGTTTCCTTTCTTCTGTTTGCTGGAATTAGAGACGAGGCGCCAATTTACCCACCATAGGTAACGTTATCCAATTGTGCAGTCTAAAGATTAGTGACACTTTGAATTTCATACCAATTGGTTTCTGCGACAAGCACACTTATTTGTGGTACATTTATTTGTGGCAAAGATCTTATTTTCACTTTATCGAGTGCCTAGTAGGTAATGTGCGGATTACCTAGATACTCTGCAAATTATCTAGGTAATTTGAGAAATGGAACAATTTTCACAACTTTAACGGATCACGCTAGTTAATCTGCAGATTAGCTAGGTAATCTGCAGATTAACGAGTTTCCGAGCTTTAGCGGTAACATATACATATATATGTCACTTCAACAAAAGTAAGCTATTAAACTTCTCTTAACGAAATTAACAATGAACCGGGGCAGAAATTCAAACACTTTTCAACCATTTACACGTGTCACGATAATTACGAATTTATTCGTGTGAAATTCTGACACGCTGGACAACTTTCTTTCTTGTGTAACTGCAATTTTTATTAACACTATCTGTGACTAGCGAGAGTAGTGAGAACTAAAGCTGACTATAATCAATTTTGTATGACCTAACTGATTACTTTCCTGTTTCGTACAGTACTATATATTTTTGTGAAACTATTTTGTTTTGTCTTGCCTTCCCGAAAGTGAATATCATTTTCAAACGAGGCATGTTAATTTATTTAAAAATATAAATATCAATTTATTTCTATGTAGACATAGCAGTAGGAGTTTCTCTACATTCTCAGACTACAGACGATCAAGAATATGTGTCCGCAATGCACAGGTATGGAAAATTCAATTCCAGATATATTTTTTCATTTTTCGAATAATATTTACAAATGTAATATTTATATTAAATAATATAAAGTTAGTTTATATGTGATGAAATTTTTAAAATGTTCAACTTCAGTAGAAGGAAAACCTTCATAATTTTGATTATTTATCAATTAACCGAATATTAAAAGTTTGCACATTATAAATGAAGTGTTTTAGCTATACGTGCTGATGGTAATAAAGATACATAGAGAGAAGTATCGGGTTCTAAGCGTGTTCATTAAATATGTATGAAAGATTTTCAAATTAATTTAATTATCAAATGTATCGTTTTAAACTTCACGTATTTCGTACACGTGAGAGAAAATCTGTAACATCAACGACAAATGTTTGACAGATCAACTTTCCACAAAGCATACCGTGGTTATAATAAAATAACTAGTATTTATCCATCTTTGTGTTTTTCTTCTGTTGCCTCACTACTATAGAAGAAGTCTTTATGATAGCGAAAACTTAACGTTTAGACATCCAATCACAATATAAAAATATACAGTCCAGCAACTTATTTCTAATATTTCTCAAAAACAAATTAATTACGATATGAAATAATTACACAAATTTATAATTGTTTGGGTTAAANTGAACTGCTAGTAGATACGATACATAAAGTAGCAATACAGGCAAACAATATACATAAAAAAAGTACACTGTTAAAACAATAACACTTAAAACCGTGACATTGAAAAGTGTTTTATCATTAAAACAATAAAATAGAATGATGAAGTAAAAACTAAGTGCACCTTTAAAACAATAACATGATAAACTTATTTACAGTAAAATCGTAACAGCATGTTTACTATAGATACTATGTTTCATGTAATTTTTTACCAGTATTAGTGTATTATTTATCATCCTGTCTTTGTTTTTTAGTATTCATAAACGTTCATACCATCTTCTATTATGTATACTGGATTCTTTGTTAGCAATTTTAATGGTGTTTGTAATAATTTGGCAACATTCACTGTTATAATGAACAGCAATAGCCGAGCGACTATTATTATATTTCATCACGAATATGTGTTCGTTAAACCGAGTTTGTAAATTACATTTCTCTGGTCTCATATATAATTATTATCATTATCATGAGCGTTTATCTGCCTATTCAAACTAGGAATTTTTAGGGCATTAAAATTATACCATATTTGTTTTATTTAAATTTGATTCTTTCAAAGATAATTTGTTCATACGGAATTTTAAAAAATTCGTGAGTGGGATTGTTGCTTTCATGTTTCTGTTTATTAGTTTTTCTATTATTAATCCAGTTGTTGATCATGCGTTTGCTATAATCATTCATTAAAAACATTTTTATTGCATCTTATATTTCAGTTGTTTTGGTGGTAAGCCAAAAATTAATATTTTTTGTTTTTTAATTTTTAAAATATATTTAACTTAACACGAAAGAAGTGAATCGGCAGCGCTACAGAGCTCTATAGTAGAACTCAGCAACACGTTTAATGTTAAAATGCCAAATTTGATCATTAATTTCTCCAAGACCAACTAACCGATTTCGATGAAATTTAAATTATTTATACTTAGTTTCCACGATGAACAGTACGGAAGTGCTGAACTTTCAATAATTCCTTAGATCATTTTGACAATTCCAAATTCCGCAATATCGACTCGATTTACAACGAGAGGAATTTTCGCGACACGAAGCTAGCAGAAAATCTAGAAAATGTCTGCGTACGCTTAAAAGTTTTTTGAACAACCGACCACCTGTTTTTGGTCTCTTTGTAGGTTTTATTTCTAAATACTGTACCGAGAATTTATAAAATTATAAGCCCAATGTTTAAATATTAACATTCTATTGGTCGATCCTCTACCAAGTGAAGTCATGTTTTGCTATTCCTTTTAATCTATTAGCATCGAATCTTTACAATTACTTAAAACGCATTTTTGTCGGTTGTGTTATGCACATTTACTTCGTTTAATACAAAAGAATATTAAATAATAGATAAATACAGGAATAAACGTTGGATTCTGATAATTGAAATTACATCTTTCGAGTGCCGGTACGTCTCGTTTATCTTTGTTATGGCTAGTTTCATTAATATTCTCAATTTTACTTAATGTTGCTGGGAAAGCTACTGGTTGCTTGAGTTTTAACGTTCGGTTTGAATTTCTAATGCTTTATTTACGATTTTCTTTTAGTAACTGCAAAGCGTTCGAGAATTATCTATGTAAAAGTATTTTTTATATTTTTATTTTTTAAAGTATTAATATTATTAGACTAGACATTTGTTTCTTAATAATTTTCATCTTTGTTTAAGTGTTACCAGTCATCATTATCTACCTTTTGGCTCGTTATTTCCATTGACAGATATGAAATGCTCATAAGTACAAGGAGCGGCACAAATTATTGCTTCAGAATTGTCGAATTTTTAGATTTCGTACAAACACTTTTCATTATAAGCAGATGATCGACAGATACTCGTATATACGTGTATGCTCAACAAGTAATAAACACTTGTTCAAATACTTTGCTGAATACCAAACATGTGAATGCAGGTTGATAAATCCTGTAACTCACTAATCAGTTATTTGGTTTTCATTTTCTTTTTTATTTTCTAATATTACTATTATGCGCATTCGACGTAAATAAAGTAGTAATAAATTATAAGTATTTTAAATTGCCAAATCCAAGCATTCAAACTACTACAAAATTCTAGGGCAATCTGCCAGATTAAAATAATTTTTTATTCTAATATTTTCTTTTCATTTACATTACAGTGTTTTTGTAACGATATATTTACTATTAGAGTCTATATATATTACTGTGAAGCTGTGAATCTTCTTATTATTGTGACAAGCACTTAAGTTAAGAAGTGCAGAAACACGTCTTGATAAATAATTATTCCACTGATTTTAACGAAATTTTTCATGTTAATAGAATTTTTAAAATGACGGGTTGTGAAGTTTCAAATTTAACTTTGACCGGTACATGCAGAAAGTTAAACGTCGTCCCCAAAGTAAAAGGGATTTTAGAACAAAAGAAAAATTACTTATGCAGAGTGACAAGTCGCTTAAATTCATCCCATTTAGCGGAAATCATACTATTTTAATTCAAATATTTTCTCCTGAAAGGCATTAGATAGATGACAGGTATTACTCTGTTGTTAAAGAAAAACTATAACGTACAGGGGCAAGTAATCACTAATTTGAGACGAGGGCATATATTTTAAATTATATAAATTAAAAATATAATAAAAAATTTTCGCTCGTCTTTTTTTCGATGTCACAATAAATAATTGTTCGTTAATTTTTTTATTTATTTTCATAACAGACATTAATCTGTCCGAAAATAAAGGCAACGCCCAGAAGTTAAAAATGAATCTTCCGTCCGTGTCCATTTTACCAGTTTTGTTAAACATTCTATTTTCTCAACGTGACCAGCAATACCACAATTCATTCATCGGGATACGTATGTCAATAATATTTTATTGAGTAATTTGACTGTTTATAAATACATATATATTTTTCGTATTTTTCCAGATGCTATAAATTTATTGACTGGACTCTCTACGCTATTTCCAAACGAGAAAGTTGCCTGTCTCAACACATTTGGATATAAATTAATGTTTTTCTTTCATCCAGAATCTGCAAAGGTAATCAAACATACCTAGTTATGTAATATATTCATTACAAATGAAAATATACAGTATTACGTTCTTTAGGAAGTGTTAAAAGGCAATAGTTTAATTAATAAGGATTCTACATATGATTTCTTCAAGCCACTTCTCGGAGAAAATAGTATTCTGTACAGGTAATACATTATTTGATATTTAGTTCAAATATCGTTGTTTACAGTTTTCTAAATTTAATTAAATAAAGTTCTGGTGATAATTGGAGAAGAAGAAGAAAATATTTAGCTCCACATTTTCATCTTTGGAATGTGAAAGATGATCAAAATGTATTTATGGAGCATTCAAACGTCTTAGTGGAAAAACTCAAACAATTGCAAAAGAATGAAATATTCGATATTCTGGAATGGATGAAATATTGCACTCTCGATATAATTGCAGGTATTACAGTCTAATGTAAAATATTTAATTAAGAATTATAAATATCAATTTGTTCATACGTAAACATTAAATGAAATATTTATTTTTTTAATTATTGCTCATCACGAAAAAAAAGTATGAAACGAATTTAAAAAAAATAATAATAATATATATATGTTACCGCTAAAGCTCGGAAACTCGTTAATCTGCAGATTAACTAGCGTGATCCGTTAAAGTTGCTAAAATTGTTCTATTTTTCAAATTACCTAGGCAATGTGCAGATTATCTAGGTAGTCTGCAAATTACCTACTAGGCACTCGGTAAAGTGAAAATAAGATCTTTGCTGAAACAACAGCAACTTTTCTGTACGCTTAAATTAACATAATGTTCTTTATTTAATTTTCGATATCTAAAGAATCAAGTTAATACAATCAAACAATGGACAAATTAGTTGATAGAATCGATCATCAACCAATTAAAAAACATACAAAAAAACCAAACAATTTAAAATATTAATACAATTAGAGAAATTATTATGTAGATAACCACCTATGGAATTTCGGGACTTTGAGTATCTATCTGAACTGAGGAAACCGAGACGACTTCAACGATACCCTACTTTTGGACCGGAGACGAAAAATAATAAAGTTATCATACTTTTTCTGGTGATCGCATGATGTAATTTTGCAGTTAATGTTACCTATGATGAGTAAAATGGCGGCTCGTCTCTGATTCCAGCAAACAGAAGAAAGGAAACTGGGGACGCACGTTCAAACCTAACCTAACCTATTCTAATAATTTGGTTGGTAATAATTATGGTAATTTATTAAAATAGGTTAGGTTAAGACAGAACGTGCTTCCCCCACAGTTTCCTTTCTTCTGTTTGCTGGAATTAGAGACGAGGCGCCAATTTACCCACCATAGGTAACGTTATCCAATTGTGCAGTCTAAAGATTAGTGACACTTTGAATTTCATACCAATTGGTTTCTGCGACAAGCACACTTATTTGTGGTACATTTATTTGTGGCAAAGATCTTATTTTCACTTTATCGAGTGCCTAGTAGGTAATGTGCGGATTACCTAGATACTCTGCAAATTATCTAGGTAATTTGAGAAATGGAACAATTTTCACAACTTTAACGGATCACGCTAGTTAATCTGCAGATTAGCTAGGTAATCTGCAGATTAACGAGTTTCCGAGCTTTAGCGGTAACATATACATATATATGTCACTTCAACAAAAGTAAGCTATTAAACTTCTCTTAACGAAATTAACAATGAACCGGGGCAGAAATTCAAACACTTTTCAACCATTTACACGTGTCACGATAATTACGAATTTATTCGTGTGAAATTCTGACACGCTGGACAACTTTCTTTCTTGTGTAACTGCAATTTTTATTAACACTATCTGTGACTAGCGAGAGTAGTGAGAACTAAAGCTGACTATAATCAATTTTGTATGACCTAACTGATTACTTTCCTGTTTCGTACAGTACTATATATTTTTGTGAAACTATTTTGTTTTGTCTTGCCTTCCCGAAAGTGAATATCATTTTCAAACGAGGCATGTTAATTTATTTAAAAATATAAATATCAATTTATTTCTATGTAGACATAGCAGTAGGAGTTTCTCTACATTCTCAGACTACAGACGATCAAGAATATGTGTCCGCAATGCACAGGTATGGAAAATTCAATTCCAGATATATTTTTTCATTTTTCGAATAATATTTACAAATGTAATATTTATATTAAATAATATAAAGTTAGTTTATATGTGATGAAATTTTTAAAATGTTCAACTTCAGTAGAAGGAAAACCTTCATAATTTTGATTATTTATCAATTAACCGAATATTAAAAGTTTGCACATTATAAATGAAGTGTTTTAGCTATACGTGCTGATGGTAATAAAGATACATAGAGAGAAGTATCGGGTTCTAAGCGTGTTCATTAAATATGTATGAAAGATTTTCAAATTAATTTAATTATCAAATGTATCGTTTTAAACTTCACGTATTTCGTACACGTGAGAGAAAATCTGTAACATCAACGACAAATGTTTGACAGATCAACTTTCCACAAAGCATACCGTGGTTATAATAAAATAACTAGTATTTATCCATCTTTGTGTTTTTCTTCTGTTGCCTCACTACTATAGAAGAAGTCTTTATGATAGCGAAAACTTAACGTTTAGACATCCAATCACAATATAAAAATATACAGTCCAGCAACTTATTTCTAATATTTCTCAAAAACAAATTAATTACGATATGAAATAATTACACAAATTTATGAATTTAAATTAAATTTTAAAATTTTAAATTATTTGAACTTAAAAAAATTCTATACTGTTTCACACATGAGATATATAATGTTAAAATTTATGTAGATTTAATAGTTGACAGTATTTTATTATTTACCCAAGCTGTAAATTTGCATTAATTTTCTTTTGATATATTAATAAATTTATATTATGATTTAGAATTCTGAAAATTTTACCTGAATGGATAGCAAATCCAATGTACTGGTTTTTTCCAATTTTCTTTACGACTAAAATAGGAAAAAATTACAAGAGGGACGTAGAAATAATTCATCGTTTCGACGAAATGGTAAACTCAACTTGTGAATGAAATTTTTGTTTTGACTTAAGTAATTAGTGATTTAATTTAATGCGTAGGTGTTCAAGAGAAAAAAAGAAAATTTTATGAAAAAAATGCAGCAGCAACATTTCTTAAACAAAGATGCACGACATGAAGAGGAACCAAAGAGGATAGCAAAACAACGTCTTATCGATTCCCTGTTAGATCTTCATGTTAAACAAGGTTTAATATCGGAAAAAGACGTTATTAGAGATATGGAAGGCTTTATTTTTGCGGTAGGCATAATTTATTAAAGGTGTAATCGGAAATAATTATATAATCGTGCACGCATGTATTTCAATGATATTATATTCATTATTTTGAAGTAATTTTTTTCTAAACAACGTATTGAAATATAAGTAATTCCACAAACAGTTAACTTGGCGACAAAAATTATAATTAACGTAAAACCTATTTCAAAAATAATTATAGTTACTTTCTTGTAATTAGAAATTGTATTTAATTTAAGATGTTTGTGAAATCATTACATTTCATTCATAATTAATTGTTAAAGAAAATAATATTTGTAATTTCGGATTAATTTATAATTTTTCAACATCTAAAAATTTGCAGTTTTGAATTTTGTCTTTTTATATTTTTAAATTTTTAAATTTGTTTTATATCCAAAGAAAGAAACTTTGGATATAAAAGATAATCAATTTTAGTTTCATTGAGGAACTGAAGTTTCGTTTGCAAAGGAGTGCATGTATCGCATTCTATTCTGTTAATTGTGTTAAAATTATAAACAGAATTGTTATAATGAATCTTTTAGAAATTTTAGTAACTTTTTTTGTAATCTCTTTCCATTTACGTCGAATTTTCATCTATGCTGCTGTGAGATCTGAATAGCCCCTGCGTCTAAAATTAATAATTATTTAATAATGTTAAATATTGTCACAAAATATTCTTTCGTTTGGGTGAGAAAAATAATGTTTTAGCGTGGGAAAAGATAGATAACAGATGCTACTTCCTTCTAGGGAAGTTAGAACATTCTCTGTTTTTCCATTATCTGCTAGACATCTTGCTTCGATGGGAAATTTAAATCCCTCATTTCATCCCCTTCCCATCCGTCCACGTGGATAAAGCCTCGACTGATAATTGGTCGTAGGTGAGAAGATATAGAGGATGTTCAACCGAATTCGAGGAGTTCATCGACAGACCAAGAAGAGTCAGGACTCCATACATATTTGCTCTTAAAGGCCAACGCCTATGCTATGAGCCATACAATATACGAAGGATTGAGTCTAGAAATACACCCAGTTAAGTTGATTTTTCCAGAGGAAAGGAGACAGAGAATTCTAGGAGTGAACAAGTACTTCATATACAGAGCCGAAGTTTAAAGACAACGATCAGGTTGTATGTTCTTAAATGATTTTGTAAGCTCTCTCTCTCGACTTCATATCGGTAATAGTATAAGTCCGTATTTCTCTTGACTGATAGATTGAATTTCGCATTTATTATCTCTCATTTATATATTATTTTGTATTAGTTTTAGTTGTTTATGGTTTATTAAATTTATTCTTGTTTATTTTATAAAGAAATGTCTCTCAATTATTATCGGAATAGGATTTCCCCTCGCGTGTTTATCCGCGTGTAAAACAACTGATAAACTGATGTCAGAATCCTGACGTGGGATAAAGACTTCACCGTCTTTAATCCTCATTAAACATAATTATTACAGCCCTCCTATGTAAACTTTAAGATCAGATCTAGTGATCTGAAACTTAGATAACTGGTCTCACCGACTAGTCGCCGTGTAAGTGGTATCTATTTTAGGATTGTACCCCCGGCTGATCTCACACTGCTATGTACTGTACACTGCATTACTAACACTTCACTTCTTTAAAATTAGGGCTAAGCTCCAATAATTACGTGTTTCGCAAGAGTTAACAGTTGGAACCATCCTCGGTTCTATTAATATTATTTATTTTGGACTTCATCCATAAATGCCTGTATTTCGAAACAAGTAAAATGACGCGTTTTTTTTCTTTCCTCTATGTTTTAAGCGAAACTTACGCCGGATACAACTTTTAGACTATTATCTTATTAAAGAAAACAGTAAACTCTACAAATCAGACTATTGATATTTTGTCGTAAATAGTACGAATAAATATATGAACTACTCGCTGCAAGAAATGTGATTGTGCATTGTAAACTGGTATAGTAGGAATATAAAAGTAAAGCGGTATTCGAGCATACCATATTCTAATTTTACAACTTTATTATACAGTATTTAATTTACTACAAATGCCAATTATATAGAAAGCAATTTTACATTTCTTTTCAACATATTTTAATATCAGGGTTACGATACAACCTCCCACGCCATGTCATGGACTCTTTATTTTTTGGGAAGATTCCACGAAATACAAGAGAAAGTGTATCTAGAATTGCAAGAAATTTTCATAAACGATATGAATAGGGATATTACTATCGATGACCTGACGAAAATGACGTACTTAGAATGCGTAATTAAGGTAACTTCTTGATTTCTTTAAATACACTTAAAGATTAGTTTTATATATTGCAATTCTCAGGAGTCGATGAGAATCTATCCTCCAACTCCTTTTATTGGAAGAAAAAATTCCTCGGAAATGAAAATAAGTAATTTTTGATATCTTGGAATTTGTTTTTCAACAATAATTTTTTATATTTTTTATTGACTTGAAGTATTAAACAGTTGTCATTGAAATAGGTAATTACGTGTTGCCTGCAAATTCCACTCTTTTCATAAACATCTATGGCATCCATCATAATCCTTCTGTTTACGAAAATCCCGAAGTGTTCGATGCAGACCGTTTCCTGCCTGAAAACTATAAAAATCTTCATCCTTATGCATTTCTGGCATTTTCTGCCGGGCCACGAAATTGTCTCGGTAAGTGATTAGTGAATAATTACAAAAACAAAAAAAAATATTTTATTAAAATAATTTATTTACAGGAAGTAAACTTGCCATGATTGAAATGAAAATGGTTTTGGCAAATGTTCTTCGTAATTTTAAAGTTTACTCTTTGGATCCTCAGGACAAAATCGTTATTTCATACGCAGTTATGTTGACCCCCATACCGGGTATAAGAATGCGTGTAGAAAAAAGACGAATGTTGTAAGATATTAACTAATATGCATAGTACGTTTGGGTAATTTTTGTTTCAAATATATATCAATATTAACATTGGCCTATATCACATAATCTCGGCGAATGAATTTAGAAACTGTATCGAAACAATTATACTTTTATTCAACATTACTCATTTATTGTATTTCATATTAAATTTGCTTTACATTAATACTATTTTTGTTGTTTATTGCATTTTATTCATTTATCACATTAATCATTTCTCATATTTAATTTTACGTA